TTCTGACGCTGGATCTTGTACTGACACGGTTAAGTGTTTTAGCTCAAAACCAGGCGCTCTGATGCCAATTGAAGTGGTGAAAAACACAAGAAGGGGGGTTGAATTGTAAAACTGAAATCTAAAGCAATGAACACGATATTTTTATCCTGGTTCGTTTGATCTCAAACTACTCCAGTCCACCCGTCAAGGTGATTTCGCCTCTCTCCAACGAGGTCTTAATTCACTATATTCAACTGAATATTACAGACTGCTTTAACAACTGCTAAAGCCTTCTTGATTCAAACCACAACCCGGTTTGTCAAGGTAACACTTTCTTACAAAGAGATAAAACAATGTGTGTGGATGTTTTCTATAAAACTTTATCACAACTGTGATGTATACACAAATTGAAGCTTAGAAACTAGATTGCTAAACAGTAATGGAATATCAGAGTGTGTGGTTTAGCAAAACTGGTAGAACGAAGATTATGGTTCAGCTTTTGTGCGTGTAGAGATTTGGAGAGCATTAACCATTTCAATCTTCAAAGCCTTGTTTATATAGCACTTGAGATGATGAACGTTGGATGCAATATTCTTGATTCAATGCTAATAACAAGCTTTCCTTTTTGAGCAGATCTTGTCTGGAATGAGGCCGTTGGAATTAATTAGCTTTCAATGCACAGTACCATTGCTTACTTAACACAAGTTCTGGCTTGACTCATTCTGATTCTGCTTCGCTGCTGATGAACTATTGTGTTTCTGTATCAGAGTGTTTGAGCGCAGTCTTGTTCATCAGGCTTCAGCATGTACGTGAGTTGATCATCTGATCTTGACGTTCTGATGTAGCAACTTCTGATGCTGGTGTATGAAATCAAATTCTGATGCTGAAAAGACGTGATCTTGCTTATATCAATCAGAGTATCTGCAAGTCAGAACATAATAATTTTAGGCAGCAGATAGTTCAAACATGAAACTTATAAATACTATATCTGTTCACTTTGTTATCATCAAAACTTAAATATAGGGTAGTAGATTCAAACATTGTTCTAACAGGAATGTCAACTGGAGCATCTTGGACATGGAAAACATTTGTGACAAAGATGAAATCCTTGAGGAAGAATCAAGTTCATATACATGATTGAGATTTAGATGTTGATGAAGACTGGGCGAAGTTCATTGACCCGGGAGGGAGATTTGGATAGCTGGTGACTGCTATCTTGTACATATTCACAAAAAAGGGGTATTTTGGTTAGTAGAGTCTTGTTTGGTATTCTTTGTCTCTTTGGAGAGCCTTAGTATTTGGGTCAGGGTTGTTTTTCCTTTATTTCATTTCCTTTTTGAGTCATTTTAATGCTTTTGCTTCTGCATCAAGTTATTGAGTCAGTTTTGAGTTTTCCTTCTTTCGCGTCTTGAATCACTTCTTGCCTATTTTGATTTTATTTACATCAGTCTCTTTTCAATATGTTTTTGTCAATTTTTGGATAAAAAGGGGGAGAAAAGTGTCATTGAGCCTAGTCTAGTATTGCGTGTTATGTGAAACACTTTAGGGGGAGCATGATTGTCCATCATGAGAGTCTTAAGTTTGAGTGTATGTGTTTGTTGCTCTACTGCTACATTTGTTGTAGTTATGTTTGCAGGATGTCATGTTGGATGTTCCAACATCCTGTGTCTGTTCTTGTGTCTGGTGTTGATTAATGAGCATAGTTGTGTCTTGTGCTCTGAGTTATCCGGAATTGAGGTCTGCTCTTGTGAGTCTTCATCTAGAAAGTCCATAGTGGTATATTGGGAATGTGTTTGAGGGGAGTGTCATTTATCTTTTTTCTCAATATAAAGTTTACATGTTTAACATGTAGCTTGTGTTGACATTCTATGATTTTATTCCTTTTCCCAAGTTATTTGGTCTTTTGTTGTTTTAGCCAAAATTTACCAAAGGGGAAGATTGTTAGTACCATGGTTTTGTGGATAGGCAACATTTTGCTAAAACATGGTTCTGACCAGATGTAGAACAAGATGTCGTAACATCTAGTTCTGATATGTAACAGGCTTGGACTGCTGTTTTTAAATCTTGACAAATTTGATTTGATTCTGTTATATTTCCTTTGGATATATCTCAATTTATATCACAGGTCAGGAATATTTATTTTGGAATAAGTTTTATAACTCTAGTTGTACATTAGTTACTAAATTGGGCCTTGAAACAATTTAGGAAACTTCATATTGGTTGTTCCAAGATTTAAGGAGATTTTCTACATAATTGGTGCATCACTCAGCTTATGGATCAAGAAAATTCTAGACTCATAATTTGAATCCCATGGACTGCAGAGTTGTATTTAAAGGGTAATCCTAACCTAATGTAATTTAATTTTTTAGAAATTGTAAAAAATCATGGGAAGCATAAGTCTTATGTTTTGAGAGTCTCTTGTGTAGTTTGTAAGCCACCCATGTATCTTTTGATATTATGTGCTCGACTGATTGTTACTTGACTATTAGTTAAGTTATTATTCTCACTCGAAGATTTTAAGAAACAGTTTAATTTTTTGTAGTGTAATATTGGGATTGAGATTGTTAGATATCACTGAGGTGATTTAGGAAGTGAGAAGGCGATTTCTCATATTTAGGAGGTTCCTAGGTAAAAGTTGCAATGGGTAGAGATTAGGCGAGAAGTGGTAAACTGTGATTGTTTAGCTTTGAACTATTATTGCTGATAGTTTACTTTCTTCCTAGCTTGGTAGCCCCCAGAGTAGGTGATGTTGCACCGAACTAGGTTAGCAACTTTATGTGTTATTTATCATTCTACAGTTTTTATTTCTGTAACACTTATAGCTAAATTGATCTGGTCTGCTACCAGATATTATAACATCTTTCTTAACATCATTCTAATGTTGGGATATAAGTGTGTTTCCCGTACCAGAATTACAAATTTGTTAATGGTAAACCAACCGAAATAAAGAAATCTGGTGCGCATAGAGCTACGGGTGTCTTAGAATTGATACATACAGACATTTGTGGATGCTTTCCTACACCTTCTTGCAATGGTCAACAATATTTTATATCATTCATATATGATTATTCTAGATATGCATACATATTTCTCATACATGAAAAGTCTTAATCATTGGATGTGTTCAAATCATTTAAGGTTGAAGTTGTGAATCAACTCAACAAAAGAATTAAGAAAGTAAAATCCGATAGTGGCGGTCAATATTATGGCAGATATGATGGTTCAGGTGAATAACATCCATGGCCTTTTGCCAAATATCTAGCAGAATATGAAATCTTCTGTAATACCCCAAATTTGTCCTACCCTTTAATAAAATCATCTGACTTGTGCATCTCATAAATCTCATATACATACCCTTTATTTTCCTATTCAGGTGTTGATCAACATGGTTTCTTATAGAGTTTGGTGCATTAGTGAAAGACATAAGTCTTTGGTTCATTACTTGGATTATAAGTTACTGCATGGATTAGGGTTCTTATTAGCATTAAGGGATTGGTTCAATTGGTCCTCACCATCACTTGAAGTTGTGTTTTATTACTTGTTATAAAAGTCTTGGCTTTGGATCTTATGCAAATTTTTTATGGCTTTTATCCATCATTTCAATCAAAGTGATGAGATCAAGGAAGAAATCATGGTTTATTCAAGTCACATTTTAAGACACTTAAACATGGAAATCCATTCAAGATTATTGAAGCAATGAACAATCGAAAGTTCTAATGCAATTTGAAAGAGAATGTCGCTTTTAATATTTGGTCTTTACTGTTGAATTTCCAAGATAAACATGTTTCACCCAAGATTGCCATAGGATTATGCAACACAAGATTAAAAGAACTTTGAAGTTTGGAATTCAATTTCGAAAAAAAAGAGAACATGTTAATCACTTAATGGTTTGTCATTGAATCTTCAAAATATTATAAAGTTACAGCCAAATTCATTTACAGATTACATTTCATTACAAGTACATAAAAAATATACAATGTCCTAAACCTAAAGTCTAACTTCAAGCTTCCATCTTGTTATGATTCCATCAAGTTTCTTCATTTCCTCACCTGTTGAGACTTCCATGCCATGTACACCGTGCCAAAACCAAACCTGCTGCTATGACATAAACCAAACATGCATAATCAAAGGAAAAAAAACATCAAATATCATGAAGCTATTCACATAAACAATCATGCTTCACGAGGCCATTCCAAGTCATGATGCATACAAGAATGAGTAAGAAGCCCATTCAAACTTTACAATCACTACATCAGTTCAAGCACCAGTTCATAATGAAAAAGAAAAAACTGGCAATAGAAGACAATAAGTATCCTATGTCATTCGCAAAACAGTCTAAAAATTGACAGCCTATCATGTCCAACATAAGAAGCAGAAAATGGTTAACTGTATAACCACAAAACCAATTCTATTACCCTGCACAACAAACAAACCACATCCATGTTCAAACAACAAAACAAAAAGGCAGAAACAGAAATCTAGAAAATCACTAAAACATAATCCTCTAACAGAATTTCGACTACCTTAAACCCTAACTAACCGTATAATAGAATTCCAAACTAACTCTTAACAGAATTCTTTTATCCAAACTGTATTCTAATTCTAACCAATTCATAACCGTTTTTTCTATAACCAATTTCTAACAATTATAACAGAGTCAGATCCTAACTTTTTCTTACAACTTCCCAACGGAAATCCTAATAGCTCAATAATAGAATTTTCAAGCAAAAACTTCCTCTAACCTCCTAATTGTTTCTAACAGATATAACAGAAATTAAAACTTCTAAAAAAAAAACTGCCTCCAGCTCATCCTAACAGATAACTGGATCCAAACTTACATATAATAGAAAAAGAGAACAAAGCTAGCCGTTTTTTCAACAACCTTCTAAAAGAACTTCATATCCTCATCTCTGCAGATTCACAATAATACTCAATCATTATCCATTCACAATTTATTATTCAGAACCTCACAGAAAAACACCAGAGAAAAAGTCATAAAAAATTATTGAATACTCACAAATCTTCTCTCCCTCTGGAAATCCGCAGAAAAACCATCTCCTTTCTCATCTTCATTCTTCTACCATCTTCATCTTCACCATTCTTCCTTCATCAAGAAGAATCACCAAAGCCTATAACAAAGTTTCTCTATGCACTACTCTGAGAGCTTCAGCATCAATTCTTCACTTCTCATCATCAATATCTCCATCATCTTCTGTAAATCCATCAACCAAAATATTCAATTGTAACATCATCTTCAATCTTCGATCTCTCAAGAATGCGTCAATCTTCAACATTATCTTCATCATTCTCGTCACTGCAAACTGCAACAACCAGAACATCAATGACTCCACACTAAACTTTAACATCAACAACAAGTTCTTTGCTACATTATCACTGCACAACATTGCAAGAATCAGATTAAGAATTCACACATAGAAAGTTCACTAAGAGGAACAACGGAAAAACCGAACTGAGAAGGAAATCGTGAGCGAAGTGGAGAATTAGACGGAGCTTTGAAGTTGAAATCATGGTGGAGCTTTTGAGAATAAGGTTGAGATGGAGTCGTGATTTGGCGTCTAACGGAGGATATCAAAGAAAAGGTAGATGGAGCCGCAAAGAAGTGGAGAGTTTGAGTTGAAAAAGGCCAAGGATGACATGGATGGAGGCACAAACAGATATTGCAATTTCGATTGGAGAAGGGTATTATAGCCACAGCGTTGAGGGTTTGGAGAAGAATGAGACAGGCTCATTATGAACAATGGAGAACGGCCGAACCATTTTCCACAGTGATGAATCGAAGTGGAGACTTGAGCACCGTTCGAAGAGAGAGTAAAAGGTGTTCGCGAAGAAGACGAAACATCACAACTTCTTGAACCCTAGAAAGCTAAACGACATCGTGCTCCACACCTTTTCACTTGTTAATTTGTTATTTCTTTTATTTCAAATTGAAACAAGAATAGACTAAGTGTTGAAAATTGGATAAAAAAATCTGGGTTGAATGATATTTGTGCTGGTTTGGGCTAGGATAGGTTGTTGGACCGGATTGTGGCCCTAAGCCCGTTCTATGCTTGTTTTTGTTGGAAGTTGGAATTGCACACTAAAAAGTGCTATTGTATTTTTTATATTGGGATTAGTGCCTCACTCCAATTACTGGAAAATACATCCTGTTTCCAGACTTGCACCCCCTGGAGTCTTTACATTTTCATTTTATTTTTCGTTATAAAATTTTTTTTATTGGCTTTTGTTAATTTTTATTGCATGACAAAATAACTAAAAATTAGTTAGAATATTTTTGGAAAAATTTTAGAATTCTTAGGTTTTCTCTTTAGAACTTTATCAGAATTTTCTATTATTACTTTCATGGTTGGTAATATTTTTGTTGTCATTTTTAGCCAAGATTTTGTGATAGAATGTTGATGTAACTTTCACAATGTGGAATTCTTGGAGATTAATTATTTGATGACTCGTGCGAAGCAACTTCTGTAGAGTTTTCTTATCGCTTGTGTGGTCTTGAAGAGGCAACAGACCTTCTCTATTAGGTATCATCATGACTTCACTTTTATTCTTCATTTCCGCACTTTACTGCTTTTCTAGAGATCATGAGAAGTAGGGCTTTACTGCTTTCTGATGCCATGAGAAGTAGGCTAGAGATGTATGACGGGGATCTCCGTTGTTGATCATGTCAGGAATCCCTCTGGTATATTTAAAGACTCGTTTAGGGGAATTCTGCATTGTGTGCTTTCAGTATGCTATTTATGTTTGTTTAAAATCCCACCTTTGAAGTAGGTATTCTGCACCTGTGTTTATATTTGTGCCTGCATTATTCCCTCATCCCTTATTGAAGTCCTCAAAAAGAGGCAAGCGGGGAGGGTTTTCAATCAACCCCCGTAATTTCGTCTATGTCATCCTTAGCTCGTGACGCACCATGATCCTTTAGAGTTGTGTCTGCTCTTGTGTATCGAGTTCGTCAAGTGGGGAAGAGTTCTGCAATCGAATCCCCACACCTTATCAGGAGTTCGTATTGGTCGATGTTGATACTCCATTATTATTCATATTGACTTTTCTTGCTTACCTGGATCTTTTATATCTTGGTTAGGTGTTCAGTCGCTTTGGGCATCACATTTTTGTTTTTTCATCTCACTCCCGCTTGTTTGTCTCGGGTGATACACTTCCCTTGGCTAAATCATTTCGGTTCTTTTCTTTACTATTTTATGTATGTGCTATTTCGAGCTTGATTGCTTATTCACTTTCTATACCATGTTCCCTTAGGATGCCCTTGTTCCCTTAGGATGCAAATTAGACCTTAGGTTGCAAACCATGCATGCTAACATTAGGTAGAGATTTCCTTTTCATCTTTGACGTAGGGCCACCGTTGTATGATAACATTAGGAATAGAAATAGGCTAGTCTCCCGTAGACTATTTTCTTCCCCTTTTGCATCCCTATATCTAAAACTAAAACTTTGTTTTTCTTAGCAAATCAAAAACATGCTAGTCCTACTTAAACCCCTTTTTCAATGTAACAAAGTACAAACCAACTCAAACCTTTTTGTGCACCCAAGCACCTTTTCTCTAAAACCCTTTTAAGGTAAGGAAATGATTGATTTACTTATGTGCCAACGCGTAAGTCTCCAAAGGTCGAGCTGTGGCAGAAGGCGAAATTAACATTGTATATAAAAAAACACAAAACAAACAAAACGTGTGAGTCGAACTACGGTAACTCCGATTCCTCAAAAAGGATACGTAGGCATTGGGGTAGGGCCCAAGTGAGCACAACTTTATTTTTCTCCCATTTTTTCCTCCTTTCTTTTGCATGAATTCTTCCTTAGCAGTAAATAGTAAGCATAGATTAAACACACCCATAAGATTAGATAATAAGAGTAGATACCGTAGAGTACTACGGGCGTGTGGGGTGCTAATACTTTCCCCTCGTGTAACAGACTTCCTTGCCCGATCTCTCGGTTGCAAGACTGCGACTTCTTCCTTCTTAGGTTTTCTCGATGTTTACCTTTCCCTTCATATGGGATAAAAGACGTTCGATGGCGACTTCATTTTTTGATGATTTTCAGCCAGTTGTTTCATCGTCCCACAATACACCATGTCGGGATCGTCTAACATGAACAATGTTACTGAAAGATGAAACCAGAATCATAAGAATATGGTAAGGAGTATGATTTGTTATTCTACCTTGCCAGAGTCACCCTGGGAAGAGACACTAAAGACTGCAGCTTATGTTCTAAATAGAGTACCAACAAAAGCAGCTGCCAAAACACCTTAGGAGCTTTGTATTGAGAGAAATCATAGTCTAAAACATTTTCATGTGTGGGGATGTCCAATTGAGGCAAGGCCTTATAGGCCAAATGAAAATAAATTGGACTCCCGAACAGTGAGCAACTACTTTATTGGTTATTCTAAAAGATCTAGGGGCTACAAATTTTATGATCCCAAATTAAATTAAATTTTTGAGACGAGAACAACCATGCTCTTTGAGGATATTGAGTTTGCTGGAAAGAATAAGGTTAAAGACTTTGTTTTAGGGGAAGAATAGATAATAATTCCAGAAATGATTTATACAATTGCTTTTGAAAAAGCAAGTATGGAACCTCCACAAGACATTGTTGATTTTCCTCATACTCAAGACAATTTGGTAATTCATGAAGAACAAACTCAAAATCCTTAAGAACAAGTGTTACAAGAACCAATACCTTTGTGCAGATCCACTAGAGAAAGGATAAATGCTATTCTGGATGACTACATAGTCTTTCTCCAAGAACATGAGAAAAATAATGGTATGATGGAAGATGATCCAATCAACTTCCATCAAGCCATGCAGGATTCCAACTCAAAAAAGTGGATTGAAGCAATGAATGAGGAGTATAAGTCCATGCAAGACAATAAAGTTTGGGAACTTGTCCCATTACCAAAAGGTGTGAAACTCATTGGTTTCAAATGGATTTTTAAGACCAAGCGAGATTCTAACGCTAATGTGAAGAGGTATAAAGATCGTCTTGTGGCTAAGGGTCATACCAAAAAGGAAGGGGTTGACTTTAAAGAGATTTTCTCTCTGGTTTCATCGAAAGACTCTTTTAGGAAAATCATGGATCTTGTTGCACATTATGATTTAGAACTCCATCAATTGGATGTCAAGACGGCATTCCTCAATGGCAACATTGATGAAATGATCTATATGGTGCAACCAGAAAACTGTGTCAGTAGACTCAAAGAATATGGTTTACAAACTGACAAAATCCATTTATGGACTAAAGCATGCATCTTGTCTGTGGTACCATAATTTTCATGAAGTAATTCTCTCATTTGGTTTTGAGGTGAATGTTGTTGAAGATTGTGTGTATCAAAAATTCAGTGGAAGTAAGTACATTTTCCTTGTCTTTCATGTTGATGACATACTACTTGCCGCTAATGATATATGCATGATGCACGAAATCAAGAAATGTATGTCAAGAAATTTTAAAACGAAAGATCTTTGTGACGCCTCTGTTGTACCCCAAAATTTTCCCTCCCATTTCCTCAACATTTTCTCATCACAAGACCCTTGAAGATCAAGACCCAGTTAGGGTTTCCTCTGCTCAAGACTCCTCCTTGCACTGTTGACCCAAATTAGGGTTTGTGTTTACACAAAGATATTTTGACATAAAATGCCTAATATGACTTTCATACTTCATGTTGGACTCCCAAGGTTGTCCATACCAAGTTTCAAGCCTTGATTCCAAATTTTGCCCAGTCAATTGGACAGTTGACCTAGAAATCAACTGTATTGGGAAAAAAGTCAACTGTGGACAATTGACAGTCAAATCTCATGAAAATTGACCCACATCAACATTATGAACTCAAATGGACCATTTGATCAAGTTTGGATCACAATTCCACAAGAAATTTGATCAGATCATCAAAAGGGCAAAATGGTCATTTTTAGGGTTTTGACTGCACAAAGGCTATTTTTGACTGTTTGACCTAGCCAATGGCAAACCAAGCTCACATATGGACTCAAGGACCCTATGGAATTATCTTGACATACTCAACAAGTTCAAAAGATCCCAAGTACACAAGATTGACAGTTGAATTTCCCAGTCAATTGATCAATTTTGACTGTATACTGAAAAGTCAAACTTTGACTTTTTGGTCAAAATCAAGAGTCAAGATTCATTTTTCATCAAAACATGCCAAATCATGAAAGTTGTCCATCAAGAAATCAAAAAATGCAAATTAGGGTTTGAAATGGGAATTTTTCATAACTTAGAATTTTTCTAAGTTATGAAAAACCCTAATTTTTTTCCAACTTTGCCCCACTTTCTCACCAAGATTCATTTGGATTCAAGCAAAAGTCAAAACATTAAAGTTGTAGCTTGTTGCAAAATCTACAACTTTGATTCACAAAGTTTTCCCAAAAGAAGCTTGTATCTCAAGTTACAAATTTTGG